AAAAAGGAAATTATAATGTTGATTGAAAATCAGAGGCCGAAAGAATGGGAAAGAGAGTGGTGGGAATGAATATGAATATGAAAATAAACTTTTTCAATTAGCTTACAATTATATATAGAGAGAGTCGAGTCGAGTCGAGCTGAATGGGGGGATTGGTTTGGTTGGCACGTATGTAGACATGTTCATTTGACCTTTTCAAATTTTATACCAATTAGTTTTGACACCAATTTTATTATTTTTTTCTTACTTCAACATTTAAATTCAACTCGTTAATTTTTTTTATTTTTTTTTTTTCATAATTGGATGAAACTTTCTCATACATTACTTGGATAGGAATGCAATTTATTTTATTGTACACTTTGGAAATTGAAATGATTTGAGTCAAGACTGAAGAATATATATTTAAATAAATAATGTTTTTCAAAGTTCAATTCAAAAGCCGTAGCGGATTTTGACACTATTGGAGGATGATGTAAACTAATCCAGGCATTAACTTATCCTGCAAGAATCCCTAAAACACAATTTCAAGGTTTATTGATAAGGCTCCATAGTATTGACTTTGTAAAACATTTATTGAACTTCAACTTATTGTTAATATATATATACTATTACAACACCCGTGTATTACACGGGTGCTTGCTAAAAAAAATATTATTATATTTTAAAGTTAATGAGAAAAACGTGTTTTAAAATTTAAATATTTTTTTTACAAAAAAAATTATATTATTATATATTTTATAATGACACTTGTTATTTGTGAGACTTTTTACATGTGTTATATGATAATAATTTTTCTAACACATATCATACACTTACTTTAGATAAAAATATATTAATTGATAAATAATTTTATTTTTTAATTAATATTAATAAATAATTTTATTATTATTAAAAAGATAAATATAATATATTTATTATATAAATACAATAGGGATGTCAATCGAAAATCATCAAAAGATGATTAATTTGATATATTACATATGCCAAATTGATAAAAAAAAAATACAAAAGTAACTTTTAAAATACATTTACAATTCAAATGTTATAATAGGAAACTATATTAAAATGAAATTATTAATACATGTAAAATGACCATGAATAATTAACATATTTGAATAATTCGAACCTAATTATTTTTGGATTTGAAATAAAATTAAATTTATCCAAACCAAATAATGAAATTTGAAATTTTGCCACATATGATGCCAAAGCATGTGAGTCTATTACTTAAGCTCAGCACGTTCGATAATTATATATATGGGGTTATATTGTCAGTGATTTAGTAGCACAACCTATCTTAGGCGCATATAATCATATTTTTCTAATAAATCTGCATGTTTTAATTTCCATACATCATTCTATTAAAAATAAAATGAATAACAACATTTTTTTTTATTTGAAAACTCCTCAGTCACTAGTTATCTCACATTAAAATTTGTGATAGATCATCACACATTGGGATATTTACAGAAAATTGTTGGACAAAAATAAGGCTTATTAGAAAAATTACTGTTGTTACTATAATTGGTGTAAGGTTTTGTTATTTGGTTGTCTGCCTTGCAACCCACCAAATCTTTTGTTCCCAAGCTCAAAGCTACATATAGTATCTTCAATCCCTTTTAAATTATTTTAGTACACTCATCTCTTTTATCGAGATGATGAGTACGCTGAACATGAGTAAAATATTGTGTAATAATGTCAAAATTATTTATTTGGGGTAGGTAACGTGTCATACTACTAATATACTTAATAATGAAAAGAAGAATTTTCTCCTAAAAGCGCGGGGCATATTGCCATCTCATTTCCATAATAACCTACTTTAATATAATAACCGGCCAGGAGACAACAGTGCTACTTCCGTGTGCCTAGGTACACCTAGCTAAGTGTGTCAGGGCAGTTTAAAATGAACATGTTATGTTACAAAATGAACATGTACAAACATGATTTGCACATGTTCATTTTGTAACATAACATGTTCATTTGTGGCACACCTACCTAGGTGTACCTAGGCACACCTAAGTATTTGCGAGGAGACAAGATCGATATAAGTTATTTAATTAAATTTGTTGGTTTAATTAAAGTTAATTTTAAAAATAAAAAATTAATTGAATTACCTTTGACTGAGATGTTGAGTTTGTCTTAAAGTAATATTTAAAATATAATGATTAAAATTGATTGATATAAGAGTAGAAGTGATGTGATTGAAAGTGATTAATAGTTAAAATTATGATTGGATAAATAGTGAATAAAGTTAATGTGACATGTGAATATGATTTATTGATATTATTTAATTATATTGATAATATTGATCATAATGGTTGAGTTGAGTTAAATTTGATTTAGATTTTGAGTTAAAAAAATTATATGGTTAACAGTGACCAGATAGTTAACTAATATCAATCAATTATCATTACACGCTACATCAACTTTAATTCATTAATCATTCATTCACATAATTTTAATTACGCATCACCTTCAATCATATCTCTCTTATTTTTACATGAAATCAACTTTAATCATTATATTTTAAATATTATTTTGAAATAAAAATTTCAAATTTCACTCAAAATTAACTCATTCGACATTTTTCAAAATAAACTCACTTAATTACCAACAAATTCAATCAAATCTAAAGTAACTTGAATCCAATTAGGCCCTAGTTTTATAAGACACTTTCAATCCCAAAAAAAATAGGATTAGGTAATATATTTTCTACTTGTTTCATTCACTGATAGTTTTTTCCCAAATGTGAAGCTTGAACCCCTTACGACTAGCATGTAAGTTAATCAACATATTAGACCGCTAATCTATTTATATGAATATAAATAATATTTAATACATATCTTTATTTCTTGAAATTGAAAAATAATAGTTTTCCTTATTTTAACTGTTATTTTATAATAAAATTGTTGTCATATAGTGTCATTATTATTATTTAGAAAAGTAACAAAAGTGGTCTTTTTTGGTATAATAATAAATATTACATTATATTATTTGTTAACGTAACTAATTTTAAATAATACAAACAAATTTAAAATAAAATATTATCTATAATATTTATTGTCATATATACCATGTGTTATTCTATTCAATCTTTTGCAATTTATCGTATCTCATAATAATTACAAAAATAAAAATAATTACATATATATATATAATATGTCATCCATAGTAATTAATTTATAATAAAAAAATCGGTTACATTGAGTGACACATTATGGTTTTATTTAAATTAACTAATCAAACAATTCAATAAATCAACCTATATTTTTTTAGCCAGTAACCATTGCAATTTAAATTTTTCATAATACATTAAACACTTTGGTCGATCAATTGGCAACAAATAAAACTTTTTTATAACCATGAGTTNTTCCATACTACGCAATGGAAATCCTATTTACAATAATTACATTATGGAATAAAAATCAAAATAAAACATTGATACAAAAAATCCTCTTTTGGATTCATATATATATTTATTATATTATCTCATAAATATTTTATATTAAATTTACGAAAATAAATTGTATTGCAACACATCCTGAGATTATTCCAATGACAATCCAAATACTTGGTACAGTCTTCAATAAAAAGAACTAAAGAAATAATATCCACAACAAGATCATACAAACGATAATACACATACTGAATGTTGATAGAGTCTGGTTAATTATAATAGCATTGAGGACATTTTATGCACCTGTATAGAGGATTAGTTAAAAAATCCTCACATCGCAGCAGATGAAGCCAATATGCATTTATTTTCAAGGAGTAAGAGGTTAGAACATAACATGGTTACATAATTTACAGTCAAGAGAGCATATGTAAAAGTATATTTGCATTACTTGTTCTTCTTATCTTCGTTGGTTCTCTCAAGAGTGACGGGGGCTGCAGGTATGCTAAACCACCAATCCCTTAATCTCCTCATCCATTTTTCTGTATTGGCTCTTCTAATTGGTGAGTATCTACTAAACGTGTCCAAGAAAACCAACAGGGCAATATATTTAATAGGTACAAAAGCAACAACCAAAGCCACCACCAAAAGTGCAGCAGCGAATCTCTCCGTCGCCTGAAGGTTAGATAATCACAGTTGACGAATAATCAAAGTTAAACGAAACAAGCCCTTGGGAAAAATGGATGTGGTTATACTGATATATGTGTCTCTGATGAAAATTTAAACACGGATACATTCAAGAAGAAGAAAGAAAGTACCATAAAAAATAAAAATACCTTTGGGAAAATGGACAATAGTAAGGCACGGCATTTGAGAAGAAAAATGTTGCCATCCTGTATTAACTCTTCAGCTTGAGAAATTGCATTTTGAACAGCCAAAAGCTGTTCCATTGCGTTCATCGCAGGTGGTGCTGATACCTTGAGTTCGTCAACAGGCTTTCCTTGGCCAAAGTAACGGGTAAGCAACATGAAAAGCACAACACAGATGAGCAATATCACGATCATATAGCTCATCCATCCTCTGCGAGACAAGTATTGAGATTTGATTATTAGACGATTTCTTTTCTCTGGAATCGTATTCACTTGCCTACGGATCACATGTAAATGCACAACTTGAGAGCAACTTTCAAATATGATCCTTAAATTTAGAATGAAATTGCAGACAGTTTGAAAGCAAATATCATCCTCAAACACATGTGTTGGACTTTAATCAAAATATCAAACCAAGACCTTTTTCAACTCAAATACATAATATTTTCCAATTGAATCACTAAGATGAAAACAATTTTTACTATCTAGGGGAAGGCCTTTGAACGAGTAATGCACCTGTATTGTATTGTCATCAATGAGAATAGGGTTACAAAATTTGGAAGCAACACATCTAACAAGTAAATTTACAATCCAAATGGTCAAGGAGAACATACTAACCTGCATATGATATATGTGGAGGCTGAACAGAACATGAAAGATTTAAGAGGTTCTTCCCAGTAGAGAAGAAAAGTAAGCCACTTCCACATTTGCATAATGGGAGAAAGGAGTTCCTGCAATTCTATTTACACCATTAACAACTATTGCAGTTCACAAACTAGCCAACCCTAGAGGAAAGATGCCCATTAAATGATGAAAAACAGGATGTCGGCTTTTCTAAACCATACAAGGGATTTGCCTTTCCAACTTTAGGGCTTGAATCAATTGGTAACAGTAAAGAATTTGGGACCTTTAAACATTCAAATCCCCAGGAATTTTTAAGTATGAAAAAGTCACGTTGTTAGATAAGCGTACCTTCATCACAGCTATGTTGGTGTCAATGTTAGATAAGCGTACCTTCATTACAGCTAAGTTGGTGTCAATGCCCTCGACTTTAGCACCATCTACTGTAGCTTGTGCAAGCACTATGTTTTCATAGCTGCTTTTTGCTTCTTTAACAGCTTTCTCCAAAGACGACATCTCCCCAACAGCAACTTCTCCAACCACCAATCCACCATTGTTAGACATGCCAGAATTTGTCCCCATGATGAATCCCAAATTAGAAGCCAGAGACGAGGCAGATATTGAATACATCCCAGTTCCAGATTTAACAGCAATTTTTCGATCCATATCTCTAGTGGTTAAGATTTTGGAAAGTTCTAAAAGAATCAGGTCTCCACGTGGAAGCTGGTCACAAAGATTAAACATAAGGAGAGCCTCACAGCACAGAGGTACTGTAGAACTCAATTCTTTGAGGGCTTGCAGCCGCACTATCCCAAATATGGCTTTCAGTAGAACTTCATGTCTATCACGACCATTGATCCGAAACTTCAACATAAATCTATGGGCGTATAGAACTTCACGGATAATAGCCAACCAATAGTCACGGCGTGTATGACCTTTCAACTCTGGAAACTCCATGACAACAGGTTCCGAACTACAGCCCTCAATATAAAGAGACAAGACTGGTGTTTTAGCCTAATTACATAAATAGCCTTTTCCAGAAGATTCAATTTGTAAAACAAACATTTCAGAGTGTATTTATGATTTTATAAATATAGATGGGCATAAGCAACTGTCTCTAAAATGAAAGAAACACGGTGTTTATTGTTGTGTATGTTTTTATTGGTATTTTTGTGTGTTGTTATGATCTTCTTTCGAGTTCATTAGACTCACAGTGTAACTGACTTATAGAAGACAGCCTTGTCAAAAAGTCTGGTCCCCCATGGTCCTGTGAGTTCAGGTCTAACAACTTGCTGTAAATCATCAGCGAGATCATATATCTTAGGTTTATCATAAGAGACTACTCGAAGAGCTTCAAATATCAGAGCATGGTCAGTCAGAGTTAACCTTCCTGCAATGACAAACATGCAGCCATCAATTTCTATGTAAGCCAAAAGTATCGACAAATTTCGTAAAATTTATTCCTATCTTCACTTAAAGAACATCATCACTTACCAGGCCATGTGGAAACACCCACGTGTTCAAGAACGGGCTGAGTAGTGACAGTTCCATCCACTTCCAGGATTTTTTCACTTCTTCCAGACCGTAAAGAAGAAAGGAGAGAAGATTCTGATTGGGACTGCAACTTTCTAATTCCCCTGAAAAAAGGAAAACAAAATTAAGAAAGCTATAGAGCAAACCATACCACCTTCCACAGTTAATTTAATCAGTCATGTTCAAAATGAAATTTGAAAATCATTATTTCCCAGATCACAACGGGATTATTTTACTGCTGATCACAAAATGAGTTTGCAGCAGCTCAGAATAACATGTCGGGTATTGCAACAAGTTAGGCAGTATTCATTTAATCTGTGGTAGTTACACATGCGCACAAAGCTTGCAAAACATGTGAAGGTATCCTAACAATTAACACAGTATTTGAGTGAGGATTACAGGTACAGCTAGATAAAATAATCAAATAAACCTCACATAAAGTGCTGTGTGGAAACAAAAAGCCAAAATCAACTTTTTACCTATCAGATCATGATACTTCATCTACAGTACATTTGCTCTCAAGGTTATATAACCAACATTTTTGGTATTTTAGCTCATGAAAACCCGAAAGAGATCATGTAGAATAATCTAAATGTCAAAAGGTGTATTACAAACGAGGTCATCAATTGAAAACTTAGGTGTGTAGCTTCTACTTGTATTTATGTTATTGTAAATATGGTATAGGTTAGAATAACTTAATTAGGTGATATGAAGATCCCATAGATAAGGTTCCTGATTCTTTTCCTTCTTACATTTCCTTTAACTAGTATATACACACCTCGTAATCTCTATTGTGAAATACACGAAATAAGCTTTACAGCACTACATTCTACATCATTAACTTCACACATTTAATGATGAGCATGAAAGTCTAATTTCTAAACTCGACTGAAAGCGGTCCTTATTCACTAGTCAAACAACTAACTAAAAGACAATTTGATTACATATCTATTTTAAGGCGAACTAAATTGTGACACTTGAAGACCGCAAATTTAGTTATGGTTAAAGACTTTTACAGCAGTGCACATATTATAATATGCGCTGCTAACAAGAAGCACACAACAGAAAAGTACTTTCCCATCAGAAAGTAAAGCCACGCGAGTTGTACCTTCCCAAGCGAATGAGGTACTTATCATAGACCGAGAAATGAAGCCGATCACCCGACGAAGCTGCAAGCACCTCAAATATTTTATCACTGACAATAACATTGGCAATAAGAGGAACTGCTGGAGCAATCCGAGAAAAAGCTTCAACTCCAATGGTAACATCATCATCCAACTGTCAAAGATACAATAGTTACGGAAAATTATTATATTTATATAGTCGGTGGAAGGGGCGCAGTCCCATAAGGGTGAAGCAGAGGGCGAGCCTAGTATACCAAGTGATATTTTAACACGCCCCCTCACTTATGAGTCTTTCAAAGGCCAAGGCCTAGAGCAGACCTGACCTGACCTGACCTGGTAGATCAAATCATCGCAGGTCCTAGATCAGGCCCGATACCATATTAGATATAGATTTATATAGTCTAGGGAAGGGGTGCAGTCCCACAAGGGTGAAGCGCACGTTAGAGAGCGAGCCTAGTTGCCACTTAAGTGAGGTTTCATTCCAAAACCATGAGAAGTAGTCCACTAGGATTATAATCTAGGCCCATTTGCCAATAGAATCAATGTGGAACAACAATTCACAAGCGATATTCCAACAAAAACATATCTAAATTTAAGAGAAAGAGTCATGAACAAACTTCACTCTCCGGAATGATGCAAAATACTTTTCTCCAGAGAATAGCAGAATAATACAGACAGAATATCAGCATATACTTAGATTCATATTCCTGCTACTTAAACTTTAAAGACTTACATGGATAACTGGTTCACTGGTAGCTGCAGGAAACTCCCAGGCGACCATCATGTCAAATGTAAGACGTCGGAAGTTGCTGTCATCCAGATAACCATCTACTTGTATTGTCCGAGCAAGAGCCATGAAGCAACAATATTCCAAAAAAATCCGTGCAAAGTTTGATTTATTCTTTATAGAATCTGGAGCTTTTGCATCAAAATTTTCTCGAACTTGGCTCATGGAAAGGCCAAGAATTCTGAATGATTACACGAGCAAACAAAAGAATTTTAGTGAAAGGATATCATAAAGAATGAAGCATGCATCAAGAAACAAAGTTCTGAATAGTCCATTAAATCTCAACTGAATTGAATTTCAACAATCAGGGTGGCAATAAGTTTAGAAAATAGCAATGTTCTAAAAGTTTCTAGGCACTCGTTAGGCAGTGGGCTGGGGCCTAGTGCCTACGCGGGGTAGTGAAAATATTAATAAATTTATTTATAATTATCATCATCTATAATATATTAGATAAAATATATTAATTAATATAGTAAAAAACAAAGATCATGCCAAATCTAATGCTTTCATAATTATAGAATTAGTTTTAATAAGACTATTGATATTTTTATTATATAAGTAATGTAAATTTCATGCATAAAAATTAAAATTATTTTTATATTTTTTTACAATAATAAATTAAAAATTTTTAAAAAAGAAACATATACGGGCGCTAAGACCCCCTAGGTGCCAGCGTAGGTCGCCTAAGCATGAGTAACTTCGTAACTGCCTAGATGCCACCTAATCGTCCGAGCGCCTAAAATGACCGCCTCGGCAAAAGTCATGGCGCCTAGGTGCCATCTAGCGCTTAGACAGGGGCGTAGGTCGATTTTTAGAAAAGAGGAAAATACTGGCTGGTTGCATTGATTCTGCCATTAAAATCAATTGGTTATTCTGCACTTTCAAATATACAAGGGCGCTAGATAGACAGTAAATGACCAGAATATTTAATTCTCTCCATTGTAAGGGGACAAAAAAGAGAGAGAGAGAGAAAAAGAAAGCTGCAGGTCTCAACAATAGACCCCACTCAGCCCTTAGAGAGTACCATTTTCCATCTAAAAGACTGGCCCTGGACAGGCAACCAATAAATCAATGAAATAGGCTTGGGCTAACATACTTATTTTGTAAAATTAGTTAACATAGAGAAATTGAATCCCACACCAGGCATATGAAAAGGCTAGGTGAAATGAATTTTCACATCTTAAGTTGCACACAACTTGTCTTCATTGAAATACCTTTAGAATCCAAGAATACCTGAAAATCATATCTAATGATTACGACTAGTACGTAACCCGTGCGATGCACGGGATGTAACATTTGAAAGAATAATATAATCTCACGTTCATTAGGATCGAAATTGAAATCATTAAAATACATAGGAACATTGTTGAATCATAAAAAGTTCGGTAACAATCATATATTATTAAAAACCTCCTTGTACACAATATTATGAGTTTGATTATTTGGTAACTCCTCATTATCACAAACTAATATTTTCAAAAGAGACAAATCCTAAAAATCAAACTAATATTTTTGGTGAAAAAACCAATATTTTAGGATTGGTGAACAAACTAATATTTTAGGATTTGTCTCTTTTTGGTGAACAAACTATTTTAGGATTGATTATATGAATAAAGCTACCTGTTTTTGGTGTTCTTTTCATTCATTTTCATTCAAACAATCCGATGACTTGTATAATGAAATCCGAATCTTAAGCCAAAATATTTAAAAAAAAGAGTTTTTAAAAATTGAAAAGTCAAGGCAATCAGTTCAGATTAATTAAAGGTCAAAGAATATCCGCTCATTGAAATAAAGACGTGTGCTATCATTAACCAAATATTCGGTTATTGATATAGAGTGGTTACCAAAAAGTAGAACGCGATAAGGACGCTTCATGGAAATATCAATGGGATAAAGTCATAACAGATCGCTATACATTTTAACGATTAAAGCTCAGATAGAATGATTTATGATAATTATGTCGTAATTAATGAATTAATTAGATGTGTGAAAATGACAAAATTAATGAGAAGTGTGAAAAGGACATAATTAATGACAAGTGTGAAAAGGATATAATTAATGTGAAAAAGACATAATTAATGAGAAATGTGAAAAAGACAAGAACTTACCAGTTTTGAAAAATATTAATGCAAATTCGACATTGATCATAATTTGACCTACTATTTTAGATAAATGTTAATTCTTATTATATAAGTATAGATTGTCAATATGCATCAGGTCATGAATGTCGCTTAAACAAAGTCGCTCATATGGTAAATGATTCTATCATATACAAATGGTGAGAGTCACCACTCAATATTTAAGTTGGATATTCGAATTAAAGAAGTGGGTAAACCATCATACCATATCACCTAGAGGAGAAAGGCCCAACTTATTCTAAATCAATAAGCCTTTCTGCTTTTATTATTGACATGGTGCTTATGACTGTGAATGGATGACTGAATATTTTGAATTACTTGATCTCATGAAGATATAAATAGTGAAGAATTATTCATTAAGTGTTTTACCAATCCAAAAATCTATAATAGATATCCACAAAAATTAAAGACATGAATTACTCATTCCTATAAATTACAATCGATAACTGCATTTCCTTTTTTCTTTCCCATTTTTGTCCTTGTTTAGCTCTAATATCAACCATCCTACAGTACCAAACTGAAGAAGACAAAATTCTTAATTGTATCTATAAATTATTCAACAAAAAATAGATGATATTAGGAAGAATTGAATAATTTTGAACCAAAAAGGGTACTCCAGTTCCAAAGCTCTTCCTATTTACCATGCTTAGTTGCGTTTTTCAGATTCAAGTTCTCTAGAACTCACTTCTCAAAGTGTGCCAAGTAGATTTACCATTTCCCTATAATCCTGCTTCATTCTCTGTCAAACTGATATGTTCTGTTCTCCACAAACCGATGCCATGTGCCATATTCCGCATCAAATGAACAGAACTTCCACTCCAAGATCATTTAAGCTTTCGGATAAATTTACTTCAGTTCAACCATAAGCTGTACTTGGAAAACCAGTCACCATATCCTGAAAGGGGTTTGTATAATCATTGTCTTTCATACAGGTTCTCATTCAACACGCGTTTCCTGAGCAAGGGTTTAGTATGTGACTTTCTTTTGTTTCAAAAACAAATACTCATGTCCCCAATTTCATCAGACCAAGTTTGAAGCATACCCAGAAAGGGGTTGTGTATAATCATTGTCTTTCTTACAGGTCCTCGTTCGACATGTGTTTCCTGAACAAGGGTTTAGTATGTGATACCAATATCCCAAATTTCTTTTGTCTGACAAACAATTTTTCATGTGCCTCAATTTCAATCAGACAAACACTGGGGCCAGGGAGGAAACAATTGTCAAGAGTCAAACACTGGGGCCAGTCAGTAGTGAATGCTTACACAAAGAACTCCAACATCACCACATTATTCTCCATATTAAGTCAGGTTCAAAAAGTTGATCAATTATACACAGCATAACTCTAAGTCATTGCACATTGTGTAGAACCAACACTCATCCCCAGAAACTTCAAGAAAGCACAGGAAAAAATAACTAAAAAAGAATAACAGAGAGAAAGCTAACTTTGAGCATCTGCGGACCACCACGTTTGCTACAGGAGAGAGGTCGGATATCCAGTTGGATGGAGAATCTCTGATATCCTCAATCTCCTCTTCGAATCCACTTCGCCTCTTAGTCAACCACTTGACTGAGGTGTCCTTAACCAGATCTTCCCACATATTCCGGGTTTTGCTAACCATATCCATAATAATCTCATCCGAAAATAGGCTAGGTCACAAAATAACAGTCACGTTAGGCTTTAAGCAAGAAGAAGGAGAAGAAAGATTCGTTGAATTGGTGGGAAGAAGCAATTTACCAGGCCAAACATTTCTTCACGAGCTCAGCTGCACAATCTATTTCCCAGCAACAGCAACCTCAAGCGCCACCACGATGACATATAAAAATGGAATTTTGTCCAAAGAGAAATTGAAATGGCTCCTCAGGTTTCTCAGATAAAAAGTTAAGCAGCGCAGTGAAGAAGAGGAGAAGAGGGAGAAAGCAAGCAGCAGCAGGATACAGTGAAGTTTGGTGTCATCTCTTGGAATTGCCAACGTGTCAAAGGCCCCTTTTCATTTTCGTTATCTTCATCTTCATTTGGGCTTTTCGCGATTGGAATTTTGATAAATTTTGTTTGAGGAAATAGTTATTTTCAAGACGGAACGCTAGATAATAAAGAATATTAAAGAATAATGTTACAAGTACGTAATAAATGTATATAAAGATATACATAATATTTACATGGAATGTTATAGATAAATAATATTATACATAGGATGTACATAACACTCACATTGGGTGAGATCTATCAAAAATTAAAATTAAGAAATGCTATAGGTACATAATATATAATATTGTAAATAGATGTGTACATAACACTCACATTGAATAGGACCTACAAAAAATAAAAACTCAAATAGGCTCCACTCCATTGCGAGTATTATGTACACCTCTATGTACATTTATTATGTACATGTAGCATTTTTCTTTTCATAAAAAATTAAGTGACCCCACCCTCATTGTTATTTATACTTCTATGTACATTTTATTATGTATTTGTAGCATTTTTTTTGTAGGACCACTCAATATTATTGTTATGTACACTCATATGTAAAATATTATGTACTTATAGCATTTCTCAATAATAAATTAACTTCACTCTATAATAATAAATTTAATTTTTTTTCATCTTACAAAATATAAAAAACAAATTATACGATGACAAGCGAAATAAATGATAAAGTATAAGTATGAAATAAATTATGCCATATCCAATAACTATGTACGTGAAATAAATTCGCTAGATTATTCGGTTAATTTAAATACGCGATTACGACATACGCAAAAGTGTCACATAATTATTTATTCTGAGTTCGATTTGTATACGGATTGGTATATATATAGACAAAATCTTCTTAATTATTAATTATGCATTTCATTTGGATATGAAATTTTAATATTATTGTCGTATGGGGTGAAAAAGAAAGTTTTGATTATGTGTAAAAGAAAAATCTTATATATAATGGGGTGTAAAAATGTCCACATTATTAACATATGGGTCAGAAATTTTCTGCCTTTCGTTACTTTACTATATCACCAACAATTCCGATCGTCCCTGCTACTCCTGAAGGGGAGAAGCCAAGGAGAATGTTATTTATAGCTTCTATGTAGTAAACAACTGTATAGTTTTCAAATATTATGTTTAACGAGTTCTAATTATACGCCTGCCTGATTTTGATGCTATATTTTTTGCGACAATTTGAGGCATTTATCTGATTAAAATTATTCGGTGTTCTGTTTTTTGTCTTAATTCTCTCTTGCATTTCAGAATCTCAGCCTATCACTTTCGTTGTGGGTAAAATTTGGCTCAAAGGCATCCATCCGCCTTTTAGTATTCATGTTGAAAACAGGCGAATGTGTGATTTTAAATAGAACAACTGTTTGTTCAGCTAGGTTTTCTGATGGATGGCTGCGATGGAGGAGATGATCAGGCTTCCGGATGGATGCAAGTCAAAAAGGTTTTGTTTTTTTCAATTTCCACGCACCTTTTGGTTTGACACGTCAAAGATTGAGCTGTTTCTTTTTGTCTGTTACATATTAATTTCTGATGCTGTACGTTCATTGGTTTNCCAGAAAAATTTTGGATTGCTGTTTATTTGTTTATATTTCTTGTTTTGAGGATTGAACATCAACTGTTGAGTTTGCTTGAAGGGCTGATTTATCACATGAAGTGATGGAAGAGGGTGATTGTAAGAATTAATCATGTAAAAAATTCATCTGGAGTGAAGTTTCCAATTAATTGCGTATTCATTATTCAGTAGAACAGATAAATTATTTTCTTTATATATATGGGTGTGTGTTTGTATGTGGCACCTTGTCTCTCAAAAGATCTTGTTCTTGATTAGCTTCCAATTGCATTTGAAACTCGATTCAAGTAGAATTCTAAGTTTATAAGTAGTTTGTGGTTTACTTCGTCAAAAAGTTATGCAATTGGAAAAATAAAAACTTATCCGCTAGCCCATTCCATTTTTTTCTTCTATAATAATTATTAATAGTTTCATTTTAATGACAACATCCCTTTTTCTCTCTTCTGATTAGCATAGTCAGATTTATCAGTTAATATATTCGAGCTCATGACAGTGTAGGAGTCTTTCCTTATGACTTTATTTTAGCTTCACTTATTCATTTTCTTTTGAATTTGTTGCCCAGAAACACCGAAGCAATTTGAAATTCTCATTACACGGTTGGGTTGAAGGGCTGTCTGGAAAACAGGGGCCTAGCTGTCTAAACAATCGACCTTCATTGAGCCTGATCCTGGAGAATAACAGAAATGAAGCTCAACAACTGAATGCAAGTAAAGTTTATACTGTGCGTGATGTGAATAATGTCTCAAATCCGACTTCCATCTCTACAGAGGATGAAGCAGTTGGCCACTGCCTTGGCAAATGTGTTATTAGTCACAATAATGAGGACACAAACATTGAAAAATCTAGGCCCAATATAGCTGTCAATCAGGAAAGTACTCCCAAAGATAATGTCCCTAAAATCAAATGGGGTGATTTGGATGAAGGAACACTCATGCATTATGGAAAATCTCCATCAGGTGGATTTAAATTTGGGGAAACCGGGACTCGTAATGTGGTTTCTGTGAAGGCTGAAAGTGCTGGTTTGTTTGTCGATCCACATGGTCTTGAGGACAACAAATTTATACAGACAGCCATTTGTGAGGGTGAGGTTCTTCCAGAGTCTCAGTTCCTGTCTTCAGATATCGCATCAGTTAAGGAAACCACTAAAGAAGTGAATAAAGTGTCTATAGAGGACGTTAAGGACCAAGTCTGCAGTGAGAAAGTGGTTAGTCAGAGTAGCCGACCTTGGGAAAATAATTCATGCATAGAACAAAAAGACATGACAATGGTGAAAGCAGAAAATATTATATCCGAATCAGGTGTTCAATTTATTGACAAAGCTTTAAGCATGGTCACAACTACGGACTCACAACCAGAAGAGAATGGGAAGCCAGGAATTCACGAGGAATCTCAATTGATGGTTTCAGATGAAGACTCTAGGGATCGAGAACTTAAAGAAGATTCTAATGATGTATCAGATGGCCAGAATATAGATACAAACAATGCAGATGATACAGGTGAAAGCAAAGAAAGATTCAGAGAACGTCTCTGGGGCTTTCTCTTTGAGAACCTGAATAGGGCTGTAGATGAACTATATCTTCTTTGTGAACTCGAATGCGATCTGGATCAAATGAAAGAGGCAAATCTTGTTCTTGAAGAAGCTGCTTCAGACTTTAGAGAGCTAAAGTCGAGAGTTGAGAAGTTTGAGAAATTGAAAAGGTCCTCGTCTAATGGAGGAGCTGATGGAGCTCCTTTGGTAATGCAATCTGATCACCGCAGACCACATGCCCTCTCATGGGAGGTCAGTATTTGTGCACCTCTGGCTGAAAAATACACATCATTTACAATTTGAAGAGTTGAAATATTTAGGTCTTCTTCCTCCTTCTTGATGTGATGCAATCACTTTGCAGTTGCGTGTTAATAATTGAATCATAAAAAAAATTACTATTGCAAAGAACATGGAAGTGAAAATTTTGTTATCTTCTTTTTTCTTGCTAAGCTGAATGCGTCGTTATAATTTTGATCATTGTCTAGTCTCTTTTATAGTTTTTTTTTTTTCTTTAACTTTGTCATTTGATAATACTCATTTTGCAGGGTGATAATGCTTAGTGATATAAATATTGATTTGGAACTATCCTTTACTTATTCAACCGTACATATATTATCGTAATTTTGAGTGTTGAAGGTTTTATTTGTTTAACTTGAAATATGATTTCTGAAAGAAGTGTTTAAAATATATGAACTCACTTGTAGACATGAATAGTAATGGTTATGCATTTCACAGTTACATTTCATGAGTTTCCTAGTTTCATTCACAAAATTACAGTTAATTAGTCATCAACATCTAAGTGTTGATCATTAGTTGTTTTCTTAAGATCCCACTGTTTTACTGTTAGTGTAGGTCCGCCGAATGACAACTTCACCACGCAGGGCAGAGATTTTGTCTTCATCTCTTGAAGCTTTTAGGAAAATACAGCAAGTGAGAAATAGTGAATGTGCTAACAGTTCTAAGAATTTGGTGGCTCCATATTCCAATTTTGGAACAACAGATATGTCGAACATAGATAAGTTTGCTAATAAATATGATTTAGTGGGCAATTCTGAAGAACTAACTGTAAAACAGTCAAGTCAGACAGGAGCCTCAAATATATCACAGTCCACAACTAAAGAAAAGAGAAACTCTGACTCGGGGAGATCAGCTGCTGTTGCTTGTTCAAGTCGAAAGAACTATCATGAACTGCATGAGAAGAAAAACAAAACCTTAGTGGACCAAACTGCTGAGAGAAATCCAAAGTCAGTTGATCCTTTGAGAAGGCAGATTTCATTCCATGAGAGAGAAAGAGAAAAGAGAAATGGAAGTTCATCAAAGTCGATGGATGCTTGGAAAGAGAAAAGGAATTGGGAAGACATTCTTGCATCTCCTCATCGTTTATCTTCCCGCTTCTCTTATTCACCGGGCATGAGCAGGAAAAGTGCTGAGCGAGTTCGTGTTTTGCATGACAAACTTATGTCTCCTGATAAGAAGAAAAAATCAACCCTCGATCTTAAGAAAGATGCAGAAGAGAAACATGCCAGGGCCACTAGAATCAGGTCTCAGCTCGAGCACGAAAGGGTTCAGAAGCTCCAAAAGACATCAGAAAAACTGAACCGTGTAAATGAATGGCAAACCATTCGAAGCAATAAGCTGCGAGAATCAATGTTTGCCCGCCACCAGAAGAGTGAGTCTAGGCACGAAGCTTATTTAGCCCAGGTTGTGAGAAGAGCTGGTGACGAGAGCAGTAAGGTTAATGAGGTGCGGTTTATTACCTCACTGAATGAAGAGAATAAAAAGCTTATTTTGCGCAAAAAACTTCAGGATTCGGAGTTGAGGAGAGCGGAGAAGCTTCAAGTGATAAAAATTAAACAAAAGGAGGACATGGCTCGAGAAGAAGCTGTTTTGGAACGTAAAAGAATTATTGAAGCCGAGAAATTGCAGAGACTTGCAGAGACTCAGCGAAGGAAGGAAGAGGCTCAA